AATTCAGTTTTCAGGTGAAGCCAATGTAAATCAATGCGAAGAGTTGAAGTTTTATTCTACCCATAATGACCCCAAGTAGCATGCAGAGCTATCAGGCAGAAGATCCAATACACATTTGCTGAGCAACGATAAGTGCCTACCCCATATCTGAAACTGCTGTGGACAACAGGGGCAGAGCAGGGCAGGGCAGACAGACGCCAGCTTTCATGGAGTCAGAGTCGGTCCGTGGAAGCACTGTGCTGCGACTCTCCACGGTAATTATACTGAGGTCACTTACTTCCCATTCATGGCTATGCCCACGAATTTCCAGCCAAAAGGAAGGAGAAACATTTGAAGGGCTAGCTGTCCCCTCAGAATCAGTTGTCGACAACCTGCTAAGTTTTCCATTTTCAAAAGACGTGGATATTCATGCTGGCATCCTTTCTTTCTGCTCTCTACACTCTCAGAGGTCGGGGGGGTCATGTCTATGAGGTATTTACTTACCACTTACATTATTACTACACCCAGGAAGTTCCTGTGAACCAGTAGGCTTCACCAGGAATGGTCTCTCTTCTTCCCAATAGCTCATTGTTGTGTAACCCCAATGGTCCACTGATTGATTTGCATTTTTTTCCTTCATAGGAAGTAGTTGAGAAGTGAATGTCCAAAACAAAAGAGAAAATATTAATACTGAAAAGTTATTTTAAAAACAGAATCTGAGAGCAGCAAGAACATAGGCCCTTCACATAGATGAGGATACTGGGACCCAAAAGCCGCATGTCTACTCTAGGACAACGTAGATTTCCTGGAATTCTGCTCTAACCACTACTCCTCACATCCTCCTCTTATATTATCTCATCTGAGTAATTTCTTCTTTATATTTTTAATTTTCTAGAGGGCATGTGCACGTGCCAAAGAGAAACGGAGAAAGAGAAAGAGGAAGTGAAAAAGCATCCCCTGTGGGGGATAGCCATGCTGCAATCTCTTCTCCATTTCTCTTCTCAGGATTTTAGGCAGGCACGCACATGTGTTCAACAGGGTTTTCGAGCTGTCCAGAACTCGAACCTTGCAGTTGTCCATGTGGGATCCAGCCACCTTAAATACCATGCCACCACTGGCCCCTGAGGCATTTCTTTAAAATAAATAGTAAATCATGGGGCTGGCAGGTGGCGTGGTGGCTAAGGACGCTGGACTCCCGCATGGCCGACCACGGTTCAAGTCCTGGACCTGGAAGCTTGCTCTCTCACTTTCCCTCTCTTTCTTTCTCTCTTGCTCTGTCCCTCTCTGGTCAAATTTTAAAAAATGAAATAAATGAATAAATAAATAAAGCTAAATAAAATAATTCTTTAAAAAATAGTAAATCTTTCTGGTGCTTTATAAACTTACAGGAAGTTCTCACATTTTTTTTTCTTGTAGCTCTCATGACCCTCCTGTGAAGTCAGTTCAGATACAGAACATTAAATGAGACAATTAAGGCCACAGAGCCAGTGAATGGTAGTTAAGCACTCCATTCAAGATTGGAGAAGTGGGAGACCAGCAGTTAACGTAATGGCTATGTCGCTGGACTCCCATATAGTTGACAGTGGTTCGAGTCCCAGACCCAGTGGCTTAAACTCACGCCGGACGCATGTGCGTGCTGTGCCCAAGATCCCAAGAGGAGAATGGAGGAGAGAGGAATGCAGCGTGGCCATCCCCCTGGGGGGGAGATTTCTTGCTTTCTGTCTCTCTGTCTCTCTCTGTTTTTCTGGTGAGTGCATGCACCCTATAGCAAAAACCTCTTCAAAAAAGAAAAAAAAAAAAGATTGCAGAAGAGGGATGGACTCTGTGGGTAACAGTTTAGGCTCTTGACCTTCTCTGACTACTAAAGTCAGACTAGCATGCTACAAAGTACAGGCAGTCTTCAAAAAGTTCATGGAGGCCTTGCCTTGGTGGCATAGTCAGTAACATGTTGGACTGTGAACCTGAAAGCCACATGTTGTCTGTGGGTTTGGATCCCCAGCCCGGTCACCCTAAAAACACGCTTGATGCGTGCGCATGTGCTTGGACTCCTGGTAGGCTGGAATGCTAGAGGAAGTAAATCACAGTGTGTCTGAGCCCTGTGGAAGATGCTTCCCTCTTCTCTCTCTCACAGGCCTGTGCTCTATCTTGCATCTTTAAAAGAATTGTTTATTTATTATTTATCATTATTATTATTATTATTAAATTTGCTATAGAGCATGTACACTCACCAGAGAGAGACAGAGAGAGAGAAAGTGAGAAAGCAAGCCACAGCATTTGGGACTCAGACTGCAGTTAGCCTTAAGGGAGTCCAGCACCTTAACCACCATGCCACCTGCTGGCCCCTTTATCATGAAATTTTTTTAAGTTTATGGACAATGTATATTATGAAAGAACTATGCCTGGAATTCAGATATTTTTGCACCAAATAAACTCCGACTTTAATTTCACTTCTCTACCAACTTTTCAAGGTCCCCTCATATACAGGAATAGAGTTTCAGGCTCCAAGAAGACTCAGTGTGAGAAAGTCAAAGATCACTCAGGTGTAGGCACATGCTACATTAGCACGGGGGTGGAGGGAGGCACCTTGAGGCTCTGGCATGCTTCCAAAACACTTATTTGAAAACCCTAGAGTGAAGCAAAATAAGACCGGAAGGGTCACAGAAACTTTCATGACACACAAGGCAAGGTTTGTGGCATAAAGTTTTATGTCTGGATAAATGCAAAACCACGATTGACAGAAGTATCATTAAGGAAATTCCACTCTTAATAATTATGAACACAAGTCATAAAACCACAAGTTCAGGAAAGGAGAGATGGCTATAGTGATAACCATAACAGACAAACAGGAAATTTCAAATGGAAAGGATGTGACCATACCACTCATCCCTGAGAAGCATGCATAACAAGTAGGTGTATCAAGCACAGTATGGACCTGCTTCAGGAAAGAAAAAGAAATCATAGCTGATGTGGATATTCACAGTCCTCCTTTCAGTAACCGTTCATTCTTCATCACGCCTAGACTTGCACTCAGGATGTTGTGCATTCCCTGAGTGTACACTTACTAGAGAGGATGGACGGGAGCCTGAGAGAGAGGTGGAGCAGTGGAAACAGTAGGATGAAGGACAGTACCAAATGGTCACAGATGGGCTGGCCCTGTAGCACAGTGGTTAAGCCCTGTGTATAGGGAACTGAATCCCACCTGGCTGATCATGGTTCAAATCCAAGGCCTGGTGGCTTGAAAAATACACTGGGCACATGGGTGTGCATGCCCTAAATCCTGATGGGATGGGGAAATAGAGGAGGGGAATTGCAGCATAACCACATCCTCTTGGGGTGTGTGTGTGTGGGAGGGGGGGTCCTCTCTCTCTCTATCTCTCTCTCTCTGACAAGTGCACATACCTTCTGGCAAAATTTTTTAAAAGAAAAAGGAATAGTCATAAACTTTTGCTAGAATGGATAAGTTACATGTACATGCTTGACACAAGTATCCCCACAGAATAAAAGAAAGGCATCTTAAGCACAAATTTGAGCCAGAAAACAGATAAATGGAGTGCATGGTTTTGGTTGCATGTGATCCTGCTTACCCCTTGGCTGACTGAGTCATGGTAAACGAAGAAGGAGAAAGCCTCAGAGAAGAGAACTCTGTGTTGAACACCTGCCAGGAAACCTACAGGCTATTCTGAAACCCATGGCAACAAATAATCTCTTTAAAGGTCTTCCGCATCTCTTGGCTACGGAAGGCATATATCAGAGGGTCAATGACTGAATTACACATGATAAGTATGAGGTACATATTGAAGTGAGACATAAAGCAAGAACAATAGAGGTTCTGAGGACAAGAGATCATTAAAATGAGATGGAGGAAGAAGGGAGCCCAGCATACGATGAAAGCACCCAGCAGCATGGTGAGGGTGATGGCACCCCTCATGCTGGTCCTTTGCCGCACAGAGCTGTATCCGGGCAGAGCTGCTATCCGCTTGACATGGGTCCGTGCCAGGAGGAACATGTGTATGTACAGAGACACCATGAGGAACAACATGGTGAAGAACATGGAGATGAGGCAAATGATGACATAAGTAGATTCATAGTAAATGATGAACACGATGCCACAGCCTGTGCAAAAGGTCCAGATGCAAGCAATAATTAGGCCAGAGCGCCTCGTCGTCATGATGTGGTGGTAGCGCAGCGCATAGCAGATGGTGACATACCTATCCACTGCAATGGCCAGCAAACTGCACATGGAGGCCACCACAGAAATGCAGATCATGGAGTCAAACACGTTGTCAATGTGACGCACGAAGGTGTCTGCCATCACCAGGTGTTTGTTATTTATTAAGTATATGGTGATGGTCTCCCAGGCATTGGACATGCTCACCAGCATGTCAGCTACTGCTAAGCTGCACACGAAGAAATACATGGGGGAGTGCAAGTTCTTGTTCTTCACTATGGCGCCTATGACCAAGATGTTCTCCAAGAGGCTGATGAGACCCAGAGTCAGAAACACCTCCACAGCGATGCCCATGTCTTCGCATGGTGAAGACCTGTTTTTGACATCTGGTCCTGAAAGGTTGCCCTCTGTCGCATTCAGGTTGAGATCCAAGAAATGCAGGTGAAAGGAGGAATTCATTGCTGGAGAAAGATGCCTCCTCTTCTTGGCAGCAAAGTTGCTGTACAACAGGTTTTAATTCACCATCTGGAGAGGTTAATAGTCTACCAAAGAAATACAGCAGCCAGCCAAAAGCAAGCACAACCTAAGAAAGGGGATGAATGGACACAGCGAGCTTGACTTGCCTTGTTCTGACTCACCCCTGACCCCTGGAGTACTGTCCCTCTGACAAGCAAGTTTAGGATTTGCACTGCCTCTTCTGCCCCCCCCCCCCCCCCTTCCATCTCCCCTCCTTTCCATAAAGGGGATGAATGGACACAGCGAGCTTGACTTGCCTTGTTCTGACTCACCCCTGACCCCTGGAGTACTGTCCCTCTGACAAGCAAGTTTAGGATTTGCACTGCCTCTTCTGCCCCCCCCCCCCTGCCTTCATGCTCCCGTTCTTTCCATGCCTTTTAACAGAGTGACGCGCATCTCTGTGAGCTCAGGACAGCTGCACCTTTTGTGCTTCTTGTTGGTCCTCAAATTCGCTCTCCAAAGTATTTCCAATTTACAACCTGCAAAATCCCAGCCAGACTCCCAATTTCCATATCCCTAAGGCTCCTGAACTACGTTTTCCTAAAAATTCAAATTTCTGAAGAACATACAGACCTATATTATCTTAAGAGAGCAGCTAGGTATGCTCTTTACCTTTGTCCTCACTGTTCTCAAACCCACTAGGATTCTGTCTCCACACTGTAACTAAGATTGTAACCGAGGTGGTCTGTTACCTTGAGCATAAATACATATAAAAAGTTATTGTCTTCAATGTGTAAGCTTAGGTTGCAAATGCATGTTAAAATGGGGGGGGGAATGCTGTTTTTCCCTCAAATATTTCCCCCAACTTCTGCATTTGAATCCCATAAGGTCTGATGAACAGCTTTATTAGTTCCACACAAGCCCAGTAAGAAGAAATAAGTCGTTTAAATATGCAAAGTACTAGAGCAAGGCACTTCACTCCTTCGTTGCACCATTTTTCTCTCACGGTCTATATTTAAAAACCCCATTGCCTTCCAAACTCAGAGTACATCTGAGGAGAGAGGAGTTCTGTCATTCTCATCCATAATACTGAGTCGTATGCATTTATTGAGCTGCAATAACTTGCTATATTTTATATCTAGTTCTGTCTCAGAGTTATCAATCAATTACACGATTATGCTAAGCATCTATCACAACAAACTGTTTTAAAAAGTCACGGGACAGGCTAGCTGTTACAACTCTGTCCCAATTCGCTCTCATCCTTATTTAGGGTGAGCATGATTTTGCGTTCCTTTCCAGATTTCAAATACAATAGAAAGTTGGGGCTATTTACCGGGGCTCCTCCTGGGTTCTTCCTTTGCACCGCAGCCCCCAACCCCTCCAGGGGCGCTGCGCTCAGCCTGGGCACCGCGCGTCCACGGGCGTACACCGGCTCAGCGAGCGCCAGGGTCTCTGCGCCATACCCCGGTCGCCTCCTCCAGCCCAGCGCACGCAACCGCCGCCGGTCCCCTCCGTCTTTATGCGCCTGTCTGGCCCGCCCCTATTGCCACCTCCTCCTCCCTTCCCACCGCTTACTCCTGGACCTGGCGCGGGCGGAGAAAGTCTGGGTTCGGGGCCCACCTAGTGGTCCAGCCTCAGAACAAGACCCTCCCTCTCCCCAGAGAGGGCACCTGACTGCCAGTCATTCGGAGTCTCACGTGCAAGAGAATGCTCTGTAAATGAAAAGGCCCTCCTCCGAAGGGTGTTTGAATGCCGTCTCTAGCTGGTTGTAGCTTTTGCATTTGCTTTTCTCTTCCTCTTACTCGCTGATTAACATGCTGCAAGGTTGCTCTGTCACCTCCTTTCTCCAGAACGGCGATCTCTGGGACACCCTGACAATAAAACTAGAGCCTGGAAGCTACACTCCACTCTCCCGCCCACCCCCTGGCTAGCCCAACACTATATATAACTTCAGGACTGAACTAAACATGCTTTTGTTTCTGCTAAAGCAGAAAGGAGAGTTTCCTCTGGCGGAACACACTGGCTTTTGTGGGACCTTTTATTTCTTTAATCTCTGAAACACTTCAGATGCACCAAAGATTGTTTGTGTAAGTCCAGGGCAAAGTGCATGTGACTGCTTTCCTACGGAGCTTTCTTTGGGCTTCAAACACTTCAGACAACCTTTTCAGCAAATGCAAGTAGAGCAAGTCCTTAGTGTCACAGTGAGCTACAGGATGGAGTTCTTTAGAGATTTCTTACCTTGAGAATAGCGGCCATGCAAAAGGGAGTGGCTAACGGGAAACACTGGTAGGTTCAAGCATTCCCCTGTTCCTCATGTGCGAGACCAGGGAGGGCTCTGCAGATGTGGTTTCCCAATAAAGTGCTCAAAGCGGAGCCTGTCTGTTAAAGCTAACTGACTGGACTCTGGCACAGTTGCGTCCTGTGAGAAATGCACTTGCCCGTCCGATGCCGAAGAATGGACACGGAAACACCAGGCAGGGGGAAGCAAGATGTCAATGGTGACCTCGCACGATGGCGTGTCTAGCAGGCAGGCAAGCCCGAAATGGTTACAACAAGGATTTATTTCCTAGTGTGCAAGTCACTCCCCCAGTTCCTCATTGGCTGAATACTATGGGGTGTACAACCTTCCCAGATGTCACCCAAGTTTTATTATTCCCTTAAAAGGCAATTTATTGTCCCCTTTCCTCTCTCGTCTAACAGAAAGTCTCAAGACAAGCCCCGTGACAAAGACCCACTAGATGTCCTGAGGAGAGAGAAAAACCAGGAAGTGAAAAGGAGTTAAGGGCTGGTGACCAGCCACCATCTTAAGAAGTCATCTTTCTTTCTTTCTTTGTTTTCTTTCTTTTTTTTTTTTTTGGAGGGGGTTTTGATATAGGGTCCATGCCCACGCCAGAAAG